AAAAAAGTCAGCCTATAGCCCTAGACCGAAGGCCGAAGCCGCCCACCTGGCGCGACGAACAGCAGCTGCTTGACGGCCGCCGGCATTGTTACGGAGGTGCAGCAATGGGCCAATGGCATTTGCCTGCAGCATGGACCCGGACGAAAAGTAACATCGAATCTCGCATCGACGTCATGCAGCACGCACGGAGGCGCCTTTGCCACCGGCCGTGAGCACAAGCTAACGTGCTTTCAGCCTTTCACGATCGAGTGGAGAAGAACTAGGCGGTAGCCTACTACGTCCGAGAAAGAATCAGTCGATCAGGTTGCAGGGCCTATGTAGATGCATCACGGATGCAGCAGATAGATGCCGCTGTGGCTTTTTTGCCCACCAATAATGAAGAAGCATCGGACACACCTGACAGCCACAGGCGCAAGAATGCTGGCAAACAACACAGCAGATTACATATGCCTATCTAGACGGCCAGGCTAGGTATATGAGATGTACCAGCAACATGTGCAAGAAAGCCTAGCAGCCTTCGAGCCCAAGACAAAATCACAGGCTAATCAACATTGCAAGCAAAAGAGAGAATCACAAGGGCAGGCGAATATTGTCCACTCAGTAAAGATATACAAAAGGAGTGTTCAAAATATTCTCGTATTTGATCGCCCGCGTGCCTTTTGGGAACATTTTTGTTATCTCCAAGGAAGATATGCTTCTCCTTTCTCATGTTTAATACTACGGAGCACATCACTCCTTCAGTTTCAGCATCTGACAAGTAAATCAGATATTGTCCCCAGTCACTCAACCATAGCCACAGTAAAGACTAAGGCCTTGTTTAAATCCAGGGTATAAAGTTTTACGGATGTCACATCGGATGTCATATGGGATGTCACACGAGGTGTTCGGATACTAATAAAAAAACAAATTACATAATCCGTCAGTAATCCGTGAGAGGCGAATTTATTAAGCATAATTAATCCATCATTAGCACTTACTGTAGCACCACATTGTCAAATCATGAACTAATTACACTTAAAAGATTCGTCTCACAAATTAGTCGCAAACTATGCAATTAGTTATTTTTTTAATCTATATTTAATACTCCATGTATGTGTCAAACATTCGATAGAATATGGAGTAAACTTTAGGATGAGGAACTAAACAATGCCTAAAGTGTCATAGGACTAACAGATAGTAAAAGCTTCTAAGGTATATATTCAAATTTAAAGTTCAAAAAAAATATTCAAATTTACCCGTCCCCCATGTGAGCAAAGGGACATCTGGATTCTACTTTGCTGGCGAGAGGGAGAGAGTAGAATCCTTATCAAGTTATCAGGGAATGAAGAAAAAGTTGTAGTCATCTTCCAATGTACGCCCAGAAAACCTTGCATATACCAAATCTGAATCTGTACATACAGATAAGGCATACCGTACAAATGTAGCTCACTAGGTGAACCTAATGCATCATGAAAAATAAAGTAACGACAGATACCAGATCTCAAAATTACTACTATGTGGGCATGTTTGCCTCCTGGATTCCATAACAATACACAGAAAAATAGAAATCAAGTAAACCAGGGAACAAATGTATAATAATTCCATAATACTATGCCACAATACATGTTCAAAACAAAAAAACACATTGAAAAAAAAAAATCATATGCAACGGAAGAAAACCAACAAAGAATAAGGATCAAATTCAGTATGACACCAACTACCTTAGACATTTGGTGAAACTTTGTGTAGAACAAAACAAAGGGTTTCAAAAATTAGATGGGAGCTTGCTTCTAAGGTGGCCTCTAAAATTGTATTTCCCTGCTTCAACAAGAGTACAAGATACTATCCCCGTCAGAAGCAAGATCCCTTGTAAATGGTGTTAAGGCACCATGGCTCACCGCCTTACTACCCAGCACCCAGCCACCCAGGCCTTCCTGGCCTAAACTCAAGTACTTCAGCTGCAAGTTTTTTTTTTCCCCTATTCTTAATTACTTTACGACATCTGCAATTTCTGAATTCAAATGAAGAAGCAACACTCATGCAACAAAGAGAGCACAAAAAGGGCAGTAACTAGTATCAAACTACCTCAGATCTGCAGAACTTGCACAGAAGAAAAGAAAAGGCTTCAGCAATTCCTTTGGTAATAACAGAAGCGTCATTAATGCACCCAACCTCACAGCCCATAGATCTCATGTGGGTTCTCAACAAGTGGAAATACAACTCAACGCCAGTGTATGGTGTTTATGTGGAAGAACAAACACTAAGGTATGCAGCAAAAATTTCAGATTAGACGAAAAGAGAAACAAAACACTAATTAGATGTCTAACCTAATATGCTCTTGCAAGGAAAACAAAACATACTAAATGCACCTCAATGCTCACACCACTACAGCTGACTGCACTAAAGCTGCCAGTAGTTTACATGCTTTACTCCAGCAAACTCCAGCAATGTTAATAACTAAGTTGCTAAAGCATATAATTGAAAGGACTATGCAACCTGACCAGAGGCGGAACCAGCGATTTTGATTAAGGGGGGCCGGACAAATATGATCACATTTTTTAGTGTGATAAAATATACACAATTATATGTTTCAACAACTTTTTAAAACTTTTACACTATTTATAACCAAAATCATAAAATTTTAAAAAAATGAGTGAAAATTGATTTTTTTGCTATAAATTCAAATATTTATATAAGTATTAAATAAAATATACTGTTCTTGCCCCCCCCAGTTCCGCCACTGAACCTGACTACACCATAGAGATCATGTTTTGGCAAAGAAGCACACTTCAGCTATCTGGGTGACGTATGACATGACAATGGTATCTCAAATGCTGGAAGTTGAATAAGACAGCCTTCCTCAACTCCAGTATAAATAGTTCATGCTCACACTGCAGCTTCCTCAGTCCCATAGGGAGGAAGTTCAGAGTTCTAATAAGAGCAACAGCCAATATCATTCACAAGTTATTTTTCTGCAATATGTCAGCAACCGATTCTTTGGTCATGGCTCATGTCATACAGGATGTGTTGGATCCCTTTACACCAACCATTCCACTAAGAATAACATACAACAATAGGCTACTTCTGGCAAGTGCTGAGCTAAAGCCATCTGCGGTTGTAAGTAAACCACGAGTTGATGTCGGTGGCAATGACATGAGGGCTTTCTACACCCTGGTGAGTCAACAAGCAATTTACAGATAATGCCACCGATTGGGAGAATGTATGTCAATCCTTTTGTTATGTAACACATAAAAGTATTATGCGCTTTGTAGTGGATTTATCAGTATTAATTTGAACAAATTTAATAAGAACAAAATGCCTTAAATCTAGCAGTATATAAACATGTCTATATGCTAACTTGTTTGTCTTTGACTTGAGAAGGTACTGATTGACCCGGACGCTCCAAGTCCAAGCCATCCATCACTAAGGGAGTACTTGCACTGGTAAATCAAGTTCAATATGTTTCACTCTTCCTAGATTTGGTTCTTTTTAGTTTGCCTTATTATGATATTGGTTCACTATTGTGTAGGATGGTGACAGATATTCCTGAAACAACTAGTGTCAACTTTGGTATGAATGCATATAGTTATCTGTCATTCCATTGCGTTTCTGCTGAATATAGTATTTGTGGAGCTTAAGTTGTAGTCTCTTCTTGCTTCTCGGACCTGTTGACTACCACTGAACTGATGCAGATAAGGATGCAATTAATACATGAAATCAGCAACCATAGACTGAATCCTAGACCAGCTTGTTAGGTGAATGCAATATGCCAGCTTAGCGCTTACATGCATAGTATAGTAATATCATGAAAGCCACTAACTTAGTAGCATAACTAATGAAGCAATCAGGTAGAATTTCAATCTAACCCATTACCGGAGTCTGGATATATCAATATTAAACACAAACAAGTATTTAATAGCATAAATAAACTGGTATAGTATGATTCACAAGGCCCCTGTTTGCCCTTTAATTGGTTGGTAACCTTGAGGACAATTTCAGCAGAACTAGGTTCATTTACAGTTGTCATATTAAAGTTATATTCTAGTACATTTTTTAGTATATAAAGTTTTTTCATACTTGATTTTACCTGAGATTTTGAAACAGATATTGGAAACAAAGCAACCATTAATTGTCTCAAACAAGAGGAGCTATATCTAAAAGGCCTCTCTTCGTCTGAATTGAAAGAGTTAAAAGCAATAAATGATGATGTTTCCACTTCCACACACTTCAGTGCTCCTTAAACTCTTCAGTAGATAATGTCAGGATGCCCTTGCAGGCCAAGAGCTAGTATTTTATGAGAGACCGGACCCAAGATCTGGCATCCACAGGCTGGTATTTGTGCTGTTCCGTCAACTTGGCAGGGGGACAGTTTTTGCACCAGAAATGCGCCACAACTTCAACTGCAGAAGCTTTGCACGGCAATATCACCTCAGCGTTGCCACTGCTACATATTTCAACTGTCAAAGGGAAGGTGGATCGGGTGGAAGAAGGTTCAGGGAAGAGTAGAGACCATAGACCACTGCATGGTCACACTATAGAAATATCATCAATAATGTGCACTATATTGAATGTCAATGCACCACCTCTATATGCTGAATGCTATGTATCCCAAACTATGATTGTAATGACTTGAAGGGTTGAGAGCTTAGTCTCTTAACGGAATATAGACCAATATTACTAGTATATTCCAAGATTAATCAGACAAAATATTCTCCAGGGAGAAACCAGTACAGTTTCAGGATCTTATTAGAGTACCTACTTGTTTCAACAGGTATTGAACAAACTCAGCCACAATCTGAATAATCCAAAGTATATTTCATGGGAAACTAACAGAGCATCGCAGATTGTATATTATTCCTTACTACAATCAGAAGAGCACAGCACATTATTCCTTACTCCCATTGACAGTATTATGCCGGTGATACGTACCAGTTGCTTAGAAAGTAGTCAACAAGACGCTACAACGCAATGCAAATTCCCAGAGTTAACTTACAGCAGAATCATCATGGAGAGGAAACTAATCACTTCTTCTCAAGATGGCACACCTCCACCAATTCCCATGACTCCAAGCTTTTATCTGCGGTATCCGTTCTATAGAGCGCAAGCTCAGAGATCTCAAACTCTAATCCACAGATATCCTTGTCCAGCTCCTCTGCCTTCTTCCTTGCCTCCTCCTTCTCCTCATCTGTAAGGTCTCCGTATAAGAGGCTGACATGTGGCATGTATGCTGTAAATGCCGCAACCAAAGTCAATAATCACTAACATGGATTTTTAATTCAGGAACAAAATTCAGCTAGTACACTCACGAGTTTTTCTCTTGTAACCGAAGTGGGCACAGCAGTGATCGCTCACTCCCACCACCTAACAAAGTTCAGAGAATTTGATGTAAGAAAGCCAAATGATTCCAATGCACACTGCAATACTGCGTCAGCATTTCCTGTGGATTTCAAACCCAACTGGAAGTTTGAAACCCGGAGCAGAACAACTTAACTATGGGAACCGATCCAAGGAGAATAGATGCTTAACCTCGGTGGTGGGCTCGAGGAGGAGGTAGACGCACTGGTAGAAGAAGGTGCCACGGGCAACCCCCGTGACACGGGCAGTGTAGGGTTGGACGCCGGCGGCGGCGGCGCGTAGCACCTCGACGGCTTCCGAGCGGCGGCCGCGGAAGTCACCGACGACGGTAGCGTGCGGCCGGAAGGCGGGGCCGCCGTACGCGGCGCGGAGGCCCTCCATGATGCGGCGGAAACGGTCGCGGGTGGGCTCCGGCGGGAGGGCCCACACGGAGTACACCTCCTCCGGCGACTGGTCGGTGGGGTCCATGCGGGCTGACACTGACCGGCGGTGAGGTCAGAGCACGAGACGGGGCAGCGGGCTCAGAGGCGGCGAGTGGCGGAGTGGGGAGCGGGTGGGGGGAGGAAGGGAATATGCTGTGTAGCCGAGAAGCATCGCGGTTCGCGGGAGGCGGAACTGCGGAAGCAATGAAGCGCAGTCGGTACGGTGCCTTACGGATGAGACACTGGCTGGTGGGTCCGAGACGGGAACACAAGCTGGCGGACCCACAGTCAGTGGAATGCGTTAATCGTACTCTAATTACACGTGTTAGCGTAGAATCGACCTCGTTAACAATGACTAATCAAGTCTGGATCTAGATCTAATGTGCAAAACACAAGCACCAATAAATCGTGATGACTTGCATTGACTTCAGGAATAACAAAAGCTAGTCATGCAAATGGATCATAAAAAAAAAAACGCTTATACAAATTTGATGATTTTATAGCTTATCACCAACAAAAGCATTTTTTTCACATCAAACCAACCAACAATCTTTCAGACAACAAAATGTCCAAAATGAGCAGGCTAATGTCCATGTCACGTGCTTATACATTAAAATTTGAATTCTTGAGATTACACTATACAGATAAACATGATACTTGCTACAACTTGTTGAGCCTGATTGGCAGCACTTCTTTGCGACCGACTTTAGCCAGAGAACTATAGAAGTTGAAGAAAACATGTTTTAGACTTTTAGGCGGCTTTCCTCTTGTATAGTACAAAAATGGCTCCCCTTTGGAGCTTCTTCCACAGAACCGTTTCTTGGATTAGCGTTTAATAAGATTAACCAATAAACTAGAGAAGTCATAGCTGAATCCCCTCAAGGATCCCTACCGATCAGAACCAAGGTATTTGCAGAACAAGTCCCTAAAAAAAGGGGATCTCGATTTTCAAATGGATTAAACAAAACCAAACATAATCTAAAAACGACTGCTATCTTTAAAGTTAACAATGGGAGAAGTACTCTGTTTTGGGAGGACATTTCTGTGCACAAAATACTCCTCAAAAAAATTATTTTCCCAAATTATATGATTATATAAAAAGAGTTAAATGCACCAGAGATCTATTAACTTGTGATGATGTTTCAGTTAGGTCCATCAACTTTCAAAGTGGTTTTTGGGTCTATAAACTTTGTACGTCGTATCGCTTAGGTTCATACCTCTCCACGTTGGCTTCTCATAAAGGCTCAATGAAGTATGGATAGTTTATGGAGGCGTTTAACTAAAGATTTTCGTCCTCGGACGCCCACTGTCTTTGTCGTGCGACCACGCAGACGAAATCATAGATGCAAGAATAATGTGTGAAATCGATTGACCATCAGGGAAATGTTTCTTGAGATTACACTCTACGGTGAGATGAACGATGATACTTGTGGCGGCTGGTGCGCTCCACGCGTGAGCTCCAACTTGTTGAGCCTGATTGGCAGCACTTCTTTGCGACCGACTTTAGCCAGAGAACTATAGAAAGTTGAAGAAAACATGTTTTAGACTTTAGGACCGCCCGCGCCGGGCCAGCAGCGTGTGCGAAGCCACGAGCTCTTTACGAAACGCTTGTAGTACTTTACGGAAGCCGCGTTCGCGGGGAGTTCCGGCGCCGGTGTTCAGCTCCGGCGGATGGAGTCGCTCGGCGCCACTAACAACTTCTCAACGGCACGTTCCCCGGCAGTGTCGCGGCCCTCGGCGCAAAATGGCTCGCCGATGTGGTTTGGAGCAGCGGCTCCCTTGGAGCTTCCACAGAAGGCGCCACTTCTTCATTTTGGATTAGCGTTTAATAAGATTAACCAATAAACTCTAGTGCTGGAAGCAGCCATCGCGTCATAGCTGAATCCGCCCCTCAAGTCTCGATCCCTGCGCCGCGCCGATCCTCCTCAGAACCAAGGTATTTGCAGAACAAATCCCTAAAAAATGGGGATCTCAATTTTCAAATGGATTAAACAAAACCAAACATAATCTAAAAACGACTGCTATCTTTAAAGTTAACAATGGGAGAAGTACTCTGTTTTGGGACCCTCGACCGGCGGTCGCCGGCGGTGTGGGGACATTTCACGCCTAGCGAGGTGCACAAAATACTCGCCCACAAGCTATTTGAAAAATACATTTTCCCAAATGTTAAGATTATATCAAGATGAGAAAATGTGTTTGGCACGTGGACCTAAGTGTTATATAAAGTTTATGGACCCAAAAGGCCACTTTGGAAGTTGATGGACCCAACTGAAACCGTCTCACAAGTTAATAGACCTCTGGTGCATTTAACTCATATAAAAATGTGTTTGGCAAGTGACTGTTGGGAAGATGTAAATTGAAACATTTCTTTCAATGGACAACCTGAGATGCAGGTATGGGAGAGAGTGAGACCGATGTAGATTTTAGACAAGTTTCATCTTGAGAGAGTAAGATAGAATGCCTTGGTTAGTGGAGAAGTCCGGGGTTTACACAATCAAATCAATGTTTAGGAGACTCAAGTTCACGACAAAGTATTCATTGCAAATCACCTGTTTAGCGTGATCGTAAAAATCCTTTTGAAATACATACCTAGAAATTTTCAAATTTTTTGAAACGATGCACATTCATAGTATATTTATAAATGTACATTTGACCCAAAAGTTAAGATGCAAAAATCATTTTCTAAAAAATCAAATGAAAATTATAGGAATTTTCTTTTCTAATGTAGGTGCACATGATTTTTTTTTTATTTTCATATGATTTTTTCTAGATTGAGTTTGAATCTCAACTTTTCTAACAATTTACTTCTATAGATGTACTATGGATGTGCATCATTTCAAAAAATTAAAAGTTGCTAGATATGTGTTTCAATAGTATTTTCATATTTGCGCCGAATGGTGTTTGCACCAAATATTTTTCCCAAATTTAGAGGGTGACAAATAAAAGGATGGAGAAATTCTGGAAAAGTAAACTTCCCTTTAAAACTTAAGGTTTGTCTTTGGCTTGCCTTATAGGATAAATTACAAACACGTGCAAATCTAAATCTAAAAAAGAAGAAGAAATGGAAAGATGGTTAAAAATTATATTCTCTGTTGTACTCAATCTGATTGACACTCTAGGATTCTTTGAAAAAAAAAAAGTGTTATAGCAAAATATGAATGTGTCTCCTACACACGGCCAAATATTCGACTTGTTGCTTTTCTTTTCATGTGTTTTTCTCTCAAACAATTCAAATAGGAACAGTGTTTTCGATCGAGTTTCATTAAGTTTCACACAAAGTGTCTTAGTATGTATTAATTGCACTTTAGAAACAAAAAAAGTAGCTAAACCTACTAGTTCTAGGTGGGCCAAGAGCTAGAATGACACTTATGGGATGGAGGGAGTATTCCATAAATAGAGGCCCACATTTTCTTCCAGTGCAAATTGGCGAGGGTTGTTGGACCTGTTATAAAGAAGCGTTGAGGTAGGATTAGATTCGAAATAGTTTAGGAGGTATGTTTGAATATGGATCCCTTTAGGCCTTGTTTGGCTACACTTCAATCCACTTCGATCCATATATATTGATATATATTGAGGTGTATTGGCCTAATCCGTCCCAAATTCATCCCAGTACATATTGCTTTGAGTGGATTGAAGTGCATCCAAACAACCTCTTAAATGGTGGTCATTACAATATCAAAATCTTTTGTCTCACAATTGTGCTATGGGGTTCGTGGAACATCAGAAAGAAAAAAGTGGGGAATGAAAGGGAGCGTTCGCTGCAGCCGCAACTGCTTTTCATCCACTGCCAAACATTGTAGTGTAGACTGCAAACGCCGCAGCCGCAGCCGCAGCCGCTTGAATCTCAAGGAAATATCCAAAATCATCTGTGGAAGTGGTTTTCACAATTATGCTATGGGTTCGTGGAACATCAGAAACAAAATGGGGGAATGGAAGGGAACTTCCAAAATCATCCGTGGAAGTGGTCTTCAGAATCTCTACTTATATAGTACATTTTGCTGAAGAAGGGCGACTGCAACTGCTTGCACGCCAAGCTGGACAGAATGAAGCGATGGCCTGATGATTTGGATTTTAGAAGAGAAGACCAAAGACATGGAAGTAGAAAGCCTCATCCGAAGTTCAGGAGGAAGTTGGTTTGCTAAGCAGCGAGTTAACGCTGATAGTTTTCAGTGTTTTGCTGTTAGTGTTGCTAGTTCTCTGGGCAGGGAGTTTGTTTGACTCCGTTTGATGTAATGGTCTCTGCACGCTGGTATCCCAGCCTTTTTCGTTTTGTACTCTTTTGTATGCCTTCTATAAAAGTTGGGTAACCCTTGTTCCAAAAAAACACCTCGTGATTTGTAAGACACGAAAAATATATATTATATATGCAATCAATACTATGTCATCAAATACCGGGTTACCCTTGCTCAAAGAAAAAAGACACCTCATGATTTGTAAGACATATTTTTCCATGTAAGAATTCATCTCAAGTACAAGAAGTGTTGACAAAGATAGTACTGTATACAGGATGTCCAGACATCCACCATCATTGGGTACAAATCTCATTGAGATCAAAGATCCCATTTTACAATTTCAGAACCTCGAACCTAAGATATCTTCCATTATTCAGTAAAATTCGCATCGGGATTAAAGGTCCTACAAAACATTTATTTACAAGGACTAATTCAAAATCCTGGATCTCACACTGCCAATGCATTATGCGTAACAGTGTGTAAGATCATCTAATGCTTGTCCTTGGGCACAGCATCTTTCTTGGCAGCTTGGGACTCCAACTCCTTCACTGAAGATTGTTCAGTAGATCTATTTTGAAACATGAAAATACATGAGACCATATGGAACTATGGACCAAATGTGATGTGATGTTCAAATGTTTATAGTGGTTTCAATAGAGCTTCAAAGCAGGAGACAAGAGACACACACAACATTATAGTGGCTACAACAAAAGGTGCATGAACAGAACAAAAAATGGTAACACTGAAGCACCAATGTGACTACTGTAAGCTTTGATGTATAAGCACATACTCATTAATTCATTCGAAATTGTGATAGTAGATTGCTTGTTCTGAATCCAAATAACAATGGTCCATCTCAGTAAATTTTCAATTCCAGAGCAAATAAGGCCATCGAATAATTTATGGTAAAATGGCCAAAGTGCGATGCTTGTGTCCTCGTTGGGGTTGGTGTGTGGCCCTGTGCCATGAGCACGACACACTGGCTAATTACAATTTGTACTAGTCGTCTTCAGCTAATTACATCAGTCCTGCCCCAGTGCCGCTCATGGACATGGCCAAAACCAAAGCTGTATGGCCAAATGCCCAGCGCATGTTCCTGAGCCATCATCCGGTGTCCACACAGCTTCGATGGCATGCTAACTAGTATAAATTAACTAATGGAAACTGCTTAGATGGCATAGAAGGGAGGGAAAATTTGAAAATAGTGGCACTGAAGGCAACACTATGTTCCAATGGCACATAAGGGATTGTTATAAGTTTTGAAGGCATTCAAGGAATTTTTCCATCTAATTGTGGTGTGTTCTGCACCCCGCCTCATCTTGGTTGATTTTATGAATGTTAGTTATGAAACCAGCAAACATCTCACCTCTCTCTAGCAATATAATCTCTTAAATGAGATTCATCCACCTGCTAAAGAATGGAGGGAACACGAGACATCCAGATCTGGCCACCCTCCCGTTGCTGAATGTTAGATGTATGATATGCTGTCTCAGTTGGGCCCTTTGGGCCGATGGCTATAGGCCTGGCCCCTCTTGTATATTTGGCAATATGATTAGAGATAGGCAAGGATATCCTTGATGGGTGCTATTTCTATAAACCAGTCCTAGGAATCCTTGTCTATATATATGTGTACCTTGCACCATCTCTAATCAATCTAATAGTTCAAGAGCCAATCCTGGTCTTACAATGAGCACTATACCCAGCTGGCACACCCTCCCAGTGGCAAGCACAACACCTAGACCTGCTGCTTCATTTGTTCTTCCATCAAAATCATTTTCGGCTTTTCATTTAAATTCAGGTATGGATTCTCCATCCACTTTTTTTCCCATACTCTTCAACTCAAGGTATTTTATTCCTCTCTTTTTTATTTTCGCTCAGCTGGTGTGACTTTTGATAGCTTAGAATTTTTTTTAATGCATAATATCATATTCTGTTCTTATATGCATCAATGCATGTATATCTTATCTGAAATTTTCTTATCCTCCCTCCCATTCCTTCAATCTCTTATGCACAGAAGATTATCCTTCAGCTCTTGTTTTGATTTGCGCATTGCACTGTTAAGCCATTACACAGTACATCACCATCACACCAAATATTGCAAATGAGTCTCTAACTCTCTATATCACTACCAAAATAAATCAAAGAAATAAAGGTTTCGCCCATCCTACTCTTGGATCACTGGGCCTTGGTCTGTGAACCAAGCACCACCAAAATTTCAGTCCCCCTTGGCTCAATTGCAGCTCACCAAACCAGATTAAATTAAAACTAGTACACCGTAACCATGTTTACCACTGAATAACTTGTAGCAGCTAGAGATGCAGTCCAGGCGGGTCCAATCACCAAATCAGCCGCCGCAATGGCCGACGAACGGGACGCGGAGACTACTATTATATAGATAGACGCGAGAGCACAGAAGACATGGAGACAAAGGAGCCTACTTGGCGGCGGCGGCGGACTCCTCCTCGAGCCAGTTGCGGATGTGGCGCACGTTGCGGCGGAAGATGGTGGCCGACTGCTTGGCGTCTTTCCGCAGCAGCATCACCGCCGCGCCCAACCCCACCACCGTCAGGATGAAGTTCGTGAGCGCCATCGCACGCACCTACGCCCGATCGCCTCCCAGGACCAGGAAACCCTAGAGCGCAGGAGAGCCGGAGAAGCGGCCACCAGTCGCCGGAGGAGAGAGCTAGCCAGACCGTGGGCCGCCGGCTGATGAAAGGGTCTGTACGGGCCTCCAGCCCGCGTGCTTAGCCCATTTTATGTTCTGGCCCATCCACCTGCTCCTGCACGGTCTGTTTCGGCCGCGCTGTGGCAGTGCGCTATCCGGCTATCCATGGGCTCGTTCTCATCCGCTCGTCGGCTCGTGCCATGCCAATCTCAAGTGCTGCTCGTTGGCCGCTTCCGATCCGTACCGATCACAGCACGCGAGGCAGCCACACGCACCTTCTTCAAACACATCATGCTATTCCTGGGCCTCGCTGCTCAAGTGCTCATACTGCACAGGGCACGAGCAGCAGGCAGCGAGCATGGAAGCTGCAGGGACGACGAAAGATGCCAACCCAAGCGGGTCATCATCATCGGAGTCGCAGGTGACTGCCGCCGCCGCAGCCTTTGGCGAGGAGCAAGAGGCGCTCGTGCTGAACGCGTGGAACGCCATGAAGGGCGAGTCGGCGTCGTTTGCACTCGAGTTCTTCCTCAGGTACTGCTACTGTTCAGGGTCGCGTCTTTGCCGTTACGTTGTTGAGCACCTCACACTCAGCCACTCAGACTCAGGTCGCTGTTGTTGCCGTGACATAATGCTAGCGAGCTTATCATTGGAGCTAAGAAATATTAGCCTACTTATTTCTTTTTTTTTAAGAAAAAAAGAGTAAAGAATATATTAGCATGTTCGCTGATACGTTATGAGAAAAAAAAATATTATACCATAGTTGATAAGTTCAAGCGAACATGGCCTAAGCTGTCTTGGTGTTTCTCGTGGCGATTTTTAACAAGCTCCCCGTGTCCATGATGGATGCCTAGAGGCATGATTGATCATTTCCCTGTATTTTTTTCACGGATCCAGGATTTGTTTCATCACTAGGAAATCGTCCAAAGCTAGGATAACATATATAGTTCCAACATGGCTAGGCTTTTGTCACGTTCAGAGTCTGTTTGGAATGTAAGAATTTTATAGGGATCCTATAAGAATTTCATAGAAATTAGTTCAATTGCATCTAGAATAGTCATTATTGCTTTTTCTGTCTAGAAAAGAATACAATTCTAACATTGTTGCATATTAAAGTGTCTTAAGTTTGACTAACTATATATAGAAAAAACATCAAAATTTATGTATCAAATAAATATCATTAGGTTTATCGTGAGATATACCTTCATAATATACTCATTTGACATCATAAAACAATAATATGTTACATATATATTTGGTCAAACTTTAGACACTTTAACTAAAATGCGCTTAGAATTACATTATTTTGTGGACAGAGGTAGTACTTGTTATACTATAGTCTATAGTACTTTCTCTATAAAAAAAGAATAAAAATCTTATTTTTTGAGAAGTCAAACAATCCTGCCTTTTAATTATATATAAAAGAAGTACAAGTACTATGTAATAAATATCATTAGGCTAATCATATAATATTTTTATAATAAATCTAAGATACAAATGTTGATACTATATCTATAAATTTAGTTAAACTTGGGATTGCGCCACTTAATGTGGCTGATTGGAAAGCAACCTTCGGGGCTGAAGTTACACTTCACCTGAACGGAATCAAGCCTGCTCAGAAATAGTGTCATGGATTGGTTAAACAATTTGTAATCTGTCACCTCTTCCCTCCTTTAGCCTTCTAGGCTTTCTTGTTGCTCTGCAACAGTTCCTGTACCTTAGTTGGCCTTTTGTGTTCCACCCTCGTGTGTTCGGTTGTTAGCTCTTTGTTGTAACTTTGTTGTAACTTTGATGCCCTTTCTTAATAAGAAGGTATTTGGGACTGTTCCGCTCCATTTTTTACAACTCGCTCCAGCTCTGCGTTGCCAAACATCTTTAACTCCAAGAACTCCGCTCCAAAAAAAAAAGGTGGAGTTAGGGCATGTTTGGCATGGCTCCAACTCCAGATAAAGCAGCTCCACTCCAGAAATTCAGGTGGAGCTAGCTCTGAGTGGAGTTGGAGCTGTGTTTTTAGTGTGTTTGGCTAGAAAGAGAGTCTCAGCTCCAGAACCATGTTCAATCGTGTAGAATGCCCACTTTGCCCTCTGAGTAGGACCCACATGTCATCCTCTCTTGTTGGTTGCTACAGAGGAACTCACCATTGTCTACGGGGAAGAGGGCGCGCCGCGGCAGAGAGCTCCGTCCGCTGGAGCAGGAGAGGGAGCCGCGGCAGAGAGCTCCGTCCGTCGGAGCAGGAGAGGGAGCAACGACAGAGAGCTCCGTCCGCCAGAGCAGGAGAGGGAGCCGCGGCGGCGCCGCTTGGCGAGGTGGGCTCAGCGGGGGAGGTCCGGTAGCCACAGGCGGGGTGAGGGGGCGGTGGCAGCGGACGGGGTCGCCTAGTCGCGAGGAAGCCGCGCGTACGCTTGCTGGGGACGGCGGGGGGCTTCACGTCGCCCTCTTCTCCTTCTTCTCCGGCAGAGATGGAGGCGTCCTTCTTCCCCTTCTCCACTAGGGAAAAGGTGGGGGATGGAGTAGAGGGGGAAGAGAGGCGGGGGAGGGGAGGGGAGGGGCGCCGGCCGGCGATGGCGTCGCTGGGCCATGGCCATGGCCGTGAGGAGGGCGATCGCCCAGCCAAGGCGTCGCCTTGGCCACACGGATTCACGGAGAGAGAGAGGGAGGGAGGGGGAGTCGGCCGCACGCGGGTGTGGGAGGCAGAGCGAATAGAAAGAAAAACGGTTCGAGTTGTGTAATCAGTGGTAATTGCGGGTAATTTCACCCTAACTCCACGTCTAGATCTATTTTGGCCAGTTCTAGAGTAGGAGAAGAGGTGCTCCGAAACTCCACCTCCATTTGTACTACAGCTCTATGAAGTTGACAGCTCCATGGAGTTTTGGAGCTGGGGTGTTTGGCTGGAAAATTGGATGGAGTTGTTGGAGTTCAGCTCCAGAGCCATGCCAGGGTCTTAGGGCCTGTTTGGCATGGCTCTACTCCTAAACTCCAGCAACTCCATAAAAAAATCCAGCCAAACACCCCAACTCCAAAACTCTATGGAGCTGCCGACTCCATGGAGCTGTAGTACAAATAGAGGTGGAGTTTTGGAGCACCTCTTTTGCAGCTCCAAAACCACTCAATATGAACCTCCTCGTGGAGTTGGTGGGAAATTACCCACCACTGCCACTGATTACACAGAAAAACGGTTCGATTCTATTTTTCCCGAGCCCCCGCGCAGTGACTCCCTCCCTCCCGCGTCGTCGTCTTCCTCCCCCGCCGCCATGGGTGGCCGTCGAGCTCCTCTGCGACCGAGCCCTCCCCCTCGCCTCGCCTTACAAAAGCACGCCTGAGCTCCGCGCGGCCATTTCCCTCCCGTCGAGCGCGGCCGTCCGCCTCCCCTCCGGCGACCGCGGCTGCCCGCCCGTCTCCCTCCGGCGAGCGCAGCATAGGAGTGGCTCCTCCGAGCTCACCAGCTGGCGCACAGGCCCGATGCCCGGCGACGCAGATCCCGCGCGGACACGATGCGGACGCGGCGGCTCCCCCTTCCCGATGGCCGGAGGCGCAGGGGCCGCGCGGACGCAGCGGCTCTCCCCTTCCCGATGGCCGGCGGCGCGAGAATGTGACGCGGATGCGACGGCTCCTCCCTTTCAGATGGCCAGCGCCACACGATGCAGTCACTGATAGTGGGACCCACATAAGCAGGGCAAGAATGGCAATCTATCCTCAAACTCCTCTTTTTTGGAGCTAGGGACACCCTTCTAGCCAAACACCTCCATCAGACAGTTCCAACTCCACCCAGAGCTGGCTCCACCTGGAGTTCTAGAGTGGAGCAACTCCACCCAGAGTTGGAGCCATGCCAAACGGGGCCTTAGAGACCAACTCCACGTTTTTCTGGAGCACCTCAAGAGGTACTCCGGTTTTTAGAGTTTTGTACTTTCACATGAAGTTGAGGTGTAATTACCCACTTTGCCACTCATCGATGACCTGTACCAGTATGTTTTTCCTGTACACCTGATTTTCTTTTCTCCACCTGCGACGCTTCCTTCTCTGCCACTGCTCCAGATGCACGCTAGGCAACAACGCAGTCACCTCCAGGTCGATCCAAGCTCTTGTCTTCCACCGCCCCCTCGGTTGCCCTGTTACAACCATGAGAACACGCATAAACATCCAATGCGGTGCAGGGCTCAGGAATCAGGAGCCCATAGCACTAGAACGTGTCCCCAAACCCGGTCACCTGCTACAACTCACAATTAGGCATTTGATTTGATCTTGAAGATTACCAATCCATCCAAAATGGCCGTGTTCTCGAGATTCTAGCTGAAAATGGCATTGCAACATACAGTACGTAAAAGTGCAATTTCTTATATTTTACATCGGAATTCATTTGGCAATAAATATTCACTTATATATATATATATGCCCCGCAGACATAAAGACATACGAGTATACGACAAACATAAAATCAAGGGCATAATAGACCATTTGCAGGGAAATAACTCATTCCTGGAGTTGGAGCTAGGCTGCGTGCCAAACAGTACCACTTGCTTTACAAACTCCACGGTGGAGCTGCTCCATGGTGGAGTTGGTGGAGCGGAGTTAAAAAAACGGAAGCGGAGCTCCCAAACACCCCTTAAATTTACTGGAGAGACTTTGAAAGAAGGATTTTCGTTCTTTTTATATAGAGGAAGTACCTCCGTCAAGAATGCAATTCTAGAAGTTCTATTCATGGTAAAAAAGAAGAAGAAGTGAAAACGATGTGCATATTCATATTATAAAAACAACAAAAAAAAGTAGTGGAAACGATGTAAAATCTTCCACGACGTGGCCAGCGCATGGAGTCATGACGGACGATATCACCATTCACCCCCAAAGTATCCTGGGAATCAGCACGATATCTTAGTTTTTGGAACCAGAAGATGCCTCTGCCCCGTTCGCACAGTCAAGAGCCACGCACCTCTCCGAAAAATAAAAGCACGCCCTCTAGTTTCTCCCTCAACCAGAGGGTCACTCACCCTGGTTACCTATATAAACAACGATCAGATCTCGCACCAGAGTAGCATCACACAGAGAACACAAAATCTCCTTGCTGAACAGTAGGTAAGAATGGGGTTCAGTGAGGCACAGGAAGAGCTTGTCCTCCGTTCATGGAAAGCCATGAAGAACGACTCCGAGTCAATTGCTCTTAAGTTCTTCCTCAGGTGTGACGAGTGGTGACAGTACATTTGCATGCAATCTGTTTCCGTGGCTAATGACATGTGTTTACTCTGAAACCATCATTTTGTTTCGTGTCATGTAAAAAAAAAGGATCTTTGAGATCGCGCCGGGCGCCAAGCAGATGTTCTCCTTCCTGCGCGACGACGCCGGCGACGCGCCCTTGGAGAACCACCCCAAGCTCAAGGCCCACGCCGTCACCGTCTTCGTCATGGTCAGCCATCTCGATCTCCTAGCTGGTCTGCCGGTCTGTACGCACATGTTTCTAGCTATCCTCATCTCCTCCTGCTGCTTTGCTTTGGTTTCCAGGCTCGCGAGTCCGCGACGCAGCTGAGGAGCACCGGCGACGTGAAGGTGAGGGAGGCCACCCTGAAGCGGCTGGGCGCCAGGCACGTCAAGGCGGGCGTCGCCGACGCGCATTTCGAGGTCGTCAGGACGGCGCTGCTGGACACCATCAGGGACGCGGTCCCGGACATGTGGACGCCGGAGATGAAGGCGGCGTGGGAGGAGGCCTACGACCAGCTGGCCGCCGCCATCAAGGAGGAGATGAAGAACGCCGCCGTCATGGAGGAGACGAAGGACGCCGCCGCGGCGTGATTGTTCCTATGCTCCTCCCCGCTAGCTACCGTGACACGCACACGCACTGCTGCGTGATTAAACGCGCGTTGATAATGATGGGTGCTTTTCGACTGTCACGGGACCTATTCGTTGGGAGAAATTTAAAAAAATCTAGAGATATTTATGAGAGTGAACACTAATTTTCAGCTATGTGCAGTGAAATCCGACTGATTTTTTTATCAGCCGAACTGCCCCGCTACCGCTACGAAGCTGTTGCTACTACTGTTGCATTTTTTGTTTGTCAACCACGTCATTGCGATGATGAATAAAAAGTTGAAAAAAAATAGAGTGGAATTTGACTGGTTTGGTCTTAAAATAAGGCGCGCGAATTTAACACCGAAATATATAAAAGTGACATCTCGCGTTGTAGAAGCAATGGAGTGGCGACGTGCAGTGTCAAGGACAAACTCGGACACCATCGGTGGTTGGTTACTTGCAACTAGGCCATCGAAGCATCGAGCCGTTCTCTAGTACGGCCTATAATTTTATCTTATACTGTATAAAATTAAAAATTTTATTAAAAATGGATTTTAGATCTTAGGCTTTTGTTCTTAGAGTGGTAGATGTCTCTAGACGGAGAGATGACAATCTATGGATGAGCAATGTTTGCTCGCTTTGTTTGATGGACGACTTAAACATAGATATTCACCGTAAGGGAATATTCTCTGTAGATAATGAATAAATTTGTCTATAAAAAATTTGCTAGAAAAAGTTGTTCATAGTTTTTAATCTTTATCATTAATAAATAAATTAAGGATTACTAGTATGTTATATTATTACTTAATAATTATGATGATGACAAGATAGAGTTTGTTTTTTTTAATTATTAGTGATTGTCATAATGCCTCGAAATCCGTAGATGGTCACGTCCCATCTAACTTTGCACTCGAGCCAAACACACCTTAGCTACTGCGTCTTGTGTTAGGTCCGACTTCTCAATAGTTCTGCTCACAAAAGTCAAAACAACAACCAAATAGGTGGAACTTGAGGTTGCTTTTCTAGATAACTGTTTTTACGTAGTACAATTTTCGTAGAACCGTGGACCTTGCTTCTGGTTTTTGACGTTTTGCTTATTCAAATGGGTGAAAATAGAGGATGTTTCGTGACAGTTTTAAGGGAGATATAGATAGAGATTGGCTTCATGGTTGTTTCAACCAAACTTATAATTTTTCTAGAGTAAAGTTCATGGCCGGTCCTTAAACTTGTAGGGTGTGTCATCCCGGTACACGAACTAAAAAAGTGCGTCATTTTAGTCCTCAAACTCTATTTGGGTCTCATATTAATCCAAACGGGTATAGATCCGTGCCCGCGTCTTGAGATAAGACTTGATTGCTTAAAATAGAAGATTAGTGGGGTTATATATAAAATCGCTTAGACACAAAAACTGCTCTAATATTTAGAAACTTCACGAGGGGTTGTTTTGAAACGTCTTCCTCCCATCCGGCTGTGATGCCGCCTGGCCATGCGGGCACGTCGCCGCAGCGGCTGTTGCCGGGAAGGCGCGGCCGATACACCGCCGAAGTCACGTAGCTGAGGTCTTCAGTGCTGGCGCCCCAGCTGAGGCCATGGACGAAGAGCTTCCTGCTGATAGGTGTCACGGCTTATGCGAATTCATGAAGATGGAAGCACATCACCGCTTGCCTATGCTTCGATCTGCATGTTCCAGGTCAAGGTGAAGCTCTTCCCCATGACGCCGTTGTTCTTACTGTCCTCGACGCCTTCTTTCCCTCGTAGCTTCGTGTTGCCACCGGCTACGAAGTGAGGGCTCGACGTCGCGACGGCTATGGCGTCCGTGCCGTCCACCTAGATGGCGACCCAACATCGACTGTTAGTTTGATCTCCACCATTAGGCCCTTGGATCAATGCCCTGATCGGGGGCGTCCAACCACTCCATGGTTGGTGGGCCCCCGTCGCACAACACTATAAAGAGAGGTGGGGACCAGGGCTCTAAGTACGAGGTTGACCTGAGCCGTCGTGACCCACCAACAGCTAAACCTAACCCGATTTAAAGAGGGTGCTGCCAGCGACGGGAAGACCCACTGACTTCGCCGTCACCACCGGACCATGGCACCTCGCGTCACAGTCGCCTCTGCATCGCCACCACTACGCTGGACTCCACCGCGCCGAGCTCCCACGACATCGACGTCCACGCGGCTACGGCGCAACTGCGCCAGGGCGAAGTAGAGGAATCAGTTTCTCCATCTAAGTAAGATGTTTATCCCCTGATCTACGTTTCAGAGGTACTGTGTTTGCTAACAATGGTACCAGAGCCGGGTTGCCAGTGTGTAGATCTAGTATGGGATAGAGAATTAAAAAGAAATCGAAGAGTAACAGAGGGTTCGATCCGATTCGGATTGAAACCCTAACCCTAACCGGGTAAAAGAAAATGAAAAGAGACTGGGGGGTGGCGGGCGTCACTCAACTGTTGGTCACCACGACCACCGCGTGGGGAAAGGTGCCGCACCACCATCTTCGCCGGCGCGCGGCAAGAAAAGATCAGAGGGTTCAACCAAACCCAAACTGAAAGAAAAACGAATCGGGTTAATCCTAACCCTAGCAAAACCCTAACCCTAACCCTAATCCCCAATCGGATGAAATCCGAGAAGAAAAATCAAAAGGAGATGAAGAAAAGGAGAAAGGGGAAGAAGGGAAGGGGCCTACCTCGCCGTGCACCGCGATGTTGCCTCGCTGGCGTGCGGGAAGATCGGCCGAGCTGTGGGGTCACCGGCGCTCCAAAGCTCCGAGGGCGCCATCGCAAGACCGCTCAACAGCAGCGCGCTCAGCCACGGGCGAACGTGCGCGTCGGTGAGGGGGCCTGTAGCTGCGTCGTACCTCTCCTCTGACCATGGACGGCAACAGTTGCTGTTCCTTGTTCTCACATGGAGCGTCCGGCGGCGCTACTTCTCACCGGCGTTGTCGGCCACCAAGGCCGCCGCCGATGTCGCTTTTGCGGCCAAGAGAGAGAGAGAAGGAGTGAGAGAGACTGCCCTAGGGTTAGGGGAGCAAGGCCGGTAGCCGCTGATTTTGTCTCGCGTGAAATTGACGGACAGCCGTTCGATGCTGATGGATGGCCAGGGATGGCCGGGCCACTCTCGACCTAGGCCTAGGCGCGGGGAGCGTGACTGATACAGCTGGGCGCGCAAGCTAGGCCGAGCTGCTAGGCCACGCGTTGATGCCGTGCGAGAGGGAGCGCGCGCACGAGCTGGGCCTGGGCTGTGCAGGCACAGGCTGTGCGCGCTGCTGGGCCGCGTGCGCTGCTGTTGCCAGCTGGGCCACAGGAAAATTTTCCACTGCCAGGCCGAATGAATAGTAAACACAGAGTTTTGTTTTTATTCTTTCAGAAGCAACAGGATAATTTTTTGTCTAGTTTAAATCTCTGTCAAAATTTGAACCAACGGAATAATTTTTCAGAGAATATCGAAATTACAGAGAAATGCTTCTGAAAAATAGATAATGAATTTTTTACATTTTTCGCTGCTAAAGAAATAGTTTATTCTCAAGTTATTTTGAACCAACGTGATATTTAATTAGAGAAAAAGAGATTTTAATATGATTATGACGTTGTTATTTTCTGACCAACGTTGTTAATAACAATATCGTAATTTTAATGATTTTATGCATTATTTTTAGTTCTGCCCAATGGTGATGTAGATTTAATGTATAAACAGTTGTATGTTTTAATTTTGACCAACGTTGGAATTAAGTCATGCAATTATTGTTATTATTTATGTTCTCACTCTATATGAATTATGTTTTAAGGCGGATATAACTTGATGGGTTGTATCAAAGAGATCCCCACTCTCAAATGTGACAACTACACGGGGTGGAAGAAAAAGATTGACCTGGATAGTCACCGCACCGTGTCCCACTAAGCCTGTGGCACCAGTGAGGGAGACAAACGAGGCTGATGCCGCTTGGGCAACTAGAGAGAGGGAGTTTGAATCTCAAAAGATGTCCTATGACCTTGAGCATAGGAAGTGGGTCACTGCCAACAAGAAATGTTTGGTTGTAATAAAGAACACGATTGAGCCTGCAATTATGGGCCTAATCCCAGAGTGTGACACGGTCACCGAGTACCTCGATAGAATAAAGAGTCAGTTCACTAGCTCTTCAAAGACATATGCTACCCAGCTGATAAAGCAGCTGGTGACAGAGAGATACTCTGGAAATAGTGGCATAAGAGAGCACATACTATTTGTTATCAGTACGTGATGATGTGAATGTTGTATGTGATGATAGGAACGTTGCGTGCGACAATAAGAATGTATCCTCGTCTGCGGATGTAAACAAAAAATGAAAAAGAGCTCACGATGCGTCGTCAAAATTATGGCACTGTCGTTTAGGCCATATTTCGAGGGAGAGAATAGAAAGACTAGTTAAGAATGATATTCTTCCTCTATTAGAGTTCTCAGATTTAGAACAATACAGAGAATGTATAAAAGGAAAGTATGTAAAGAAAATTAAGAAAGATGCCAAATGAAGCGTAGGAATTTTATAGATTATTCACACAGACATCTGTGGTCCGTTTCCTGTAAAGAGTGTGGATGGTTATGATTCGTTCATAATATTCACAGATGATTACTCCCGTTATGGCTACATTTATCTAATCAAAGAAAAAACAAAAGCATTAGATAAATTTAAGATATTTAAGACAGAAGTTAAAAACCAACACAATTTAAAGATTAAGATAGTCAGGTCTGACTGTAGGGGGAAGTACTACGGTCGGCATACCCCATATGGCCAAGTTCCTATACCTTTTGTAAGGTCCTTACAGGAGAATGCCATAGTAGCCCAGTATTCTACACCGGGTGAACCTCAGCAGAATGGAGTAGCTGAAAGATGCAATCGTACCGTGATGGATATGGTGCGCAGTATAATAAGTTACTCCACCTTACCGTTGAGCCTGTGGATGAAGACGTTAAAAACCGCCATTCATATTCTCAATAGAGTACCAAGTAAGTCGGTGCCCAAAACACCAT